TACCAAAACACAAGACATTGTACAAGCATAAAAATTCTTTAAAAGAAGAATGAAAAAAGAATTTAAAAATTCATTAAAAGAAGAATAAAACATAGCCACCACGCCCGGCCTTGTATTATCCTTTTTCTAAGTGGAATATTTTTTCCATATTCCATGCTACAGACTTTAGAATTTACCTTTTGCAGCATCCATGAGCTGTTTGTAACTCAGGAATGGTTGTTTACGGGACAAATGATGTAGCTATTCATTATAGTATATGAGATAGCTATTGATTATAGTGTCTGCTGAAGGAAAAATAAATGATAAAGTAGAAGTGTTCTGGCCTTTTAAGCTAATAGATAAATATGGTCTAAAGAAGATAGAATAAAAGGAAAGAAAAACTTGAAATGAAAGAAGGAGGGCATTCCTGGGGAATGAAATGAAGAACAAAGAGCATGTCTTCACAAAGCATTCATTCATGTGTCTGTGTATGCATGTGTTTGCTAGTTTATTTTTTGCCATTCTGTTATACATACCTTTTTTTCCAGCATGAATATTCTCATGTTCTCTTGAAAAGTTATCCCTTTTCCAAGGGATATCCTGTGGCTCTCGAAGTTATTGACATAGTTTGTGCCCCATATTTAAGCTATGCCTGAAGTCATTCTGCCTTCCAACACAGACTTCCAACTTATTGGCTTATTGTTGAGCCAATAAATTTCTTATTGTTTATGCTTAATTTAACACTTCTGTCACTTGCAACAGTATGAGTTCCCAGTGATAGATGTGACAATGAATTTCCAGTTTTGGTCAATGGCAACAAGATCTACCTGGCTCATACAAAAGATGCATGTTCTGGAGTAGTGGGAGGTTAAGTCAAATGTGAATAGAAAAGTAGACCTCAAATGCTAATTAATAGCATTGGCCAGTAGCCTTGATAGTTATCTTACTATTTACTGGAGATCAATTTTAGCTTTCCTTTATTTTTTTTCCTCTTCAAGGCCTGGTAACATTAATCTGTGCCACAGCCAAGCAATCATTTATCATTTATGGAAATCTAACAAACTGTGGTCTTGACCTTTGCTCTCAAGGTTCCCAACTCCATATCCCTTTGTAGCTAAAATAGATGGAAACAGCCTCATATAGAAATTGAACACATCCCTAAGGCAACATTTTACTTTTTTCTTCCTCCCACTAAAGAGAAATCTTATTTAATTTGTAGGGGGAGGAGGAGCTGCTTAATCTTGGGCTGTTTACAGAATCTCCTCCAGGGGTCTCAGATAGGCCAAGCCTATCTGATTCAGTTCTATTTCAGGGCAGAATCCATGTGGGTCTTTTATGTTCCTGTTTGTGATTTCATGCAGGGATGGGACACAGGCATAAATTTATACTTGTATCACCACTGAGATATGTCATATATAACCATCTGGTTAGGAACTGGGCCAAAGATTCTTTTACACTCTGAGAAACTGGCTATGGAAGTTGTTGATATTAATGACTATCCTTTTCTTCTGTATTTTCAGGTTACTGTAGGGACAAATGCCCATGGATTTTTATATTCCTTAGTATAAGGAAACTTTTTTTCTTCAGTGGATGGTTTTAGAATAAAATACATAAGGCCTACCTTGGCAGTTGTAGTGTATAACTACATCAGTGCTCATCATCTTCTTTATGGAAACAGTGGCCATTTGTTTTAAGAAACCTACCTTTGTCTCTTTCTTAATTGTAATGTCAGTAGATTATACCACAGTGTCTGGGAGTTAGACTGACTAATTTATGACCAAACAGTATCTTATTGATTTAGAAGGGAGCCTCAGCTTATCCAATAAGTGTGAACTTTAAGGCTTTAATTGGTAATTCAGGGTTTACTTTCTGGGTTTGGAAAGAATATGAGGCTTTGAATTGAGTCGTGAGGAGAAAGCCTGGTATTGTCAAAAATGATCTGGGGAGCCTGAAAATGAAGGAAATCCAAAGGAAACAAAGTCAAGAGATTGTTCTTACTGTAATGTTGGAGTATAAATCAGTCTCTGCCTGAAGCTACCCTGAATTAGGAGCTCAGTAAATTTAGGTCATTTTATTTGCTTAAACCAATCTAAATCAAGACATGTAGCTATTTGTAGTCTGATAAAATAAGAAATATTTTCTCCTTTTGCCTCTTTCCTTAGAAAACTCTTTCCTTTTCTTCAAAATTTATCTCAGATATTGTCTCATCTGAGAGGCTTTCTTTGGCACAGGTGGATAGTTTCTCTCTCTTTCATAATCTTTATCATATGCTATATTTGCTTATCTATATCTTGTGTTGGAAATTACAATTTGTTGTATTATATTTATTTAGCCCCTCTTCTGTGCCACATTGGGTTAAGCTTTAGAGATTTGATGCTGAACAAGGCCAACATGGTTTATGCCCTGTGTGTACTATTGAACTGATAGGTTATTGATAATTAGAGATGTTATGTGTTTTAGCAAAAGGGAGATACAGAGAACCAGGGAAGCCATGCAAGAGGATACTAAACAAAAGATTACATGTATGATATATCTTGGGGATAGGAAACGAAAGTTGCACAATGCTAAATATGATCATTCCTGGAAAGAATTGGCCTCTTAATAATGGTGTTTCATTTGTTTTTTTTTAATCACTGGGAGCTGTTTTAATTACTTGTATGCAACAGAAACTTTTAAAAAGTTATTGCATTTGTACATGATTCAAAACATATTTACTTCTGAACCTTCCTTGACTAACACCCCTCCACAAAAATCTTTCCTGCTGTAATTCTCAAAGCTTAATTTTTATTGAATATCCACATTGCCTTTATTTTATTTATTTACATTTTGAAAGTTGATGCTTGGCATTAGTAAGCCTTATATCTAAGATCTTCAAAGATCTATCCAAAATCACAAATGCAGAAATTTTACCAAAGCAGGTAATTCTCCTTGTATCGCGATTTCACCAAAAGTCACATATATAAGCGCTATGTGTCCACAGCACAAGCTTTTCATCTTTTCAATATTCATCAACATTTTATCTTCTATGCTGTAAAATTACAACTTAACTAAAGCACTCAGTAAAAAAAGAAAATACCTTTTCTTATTTTTATACACCCCATATTATGGCTTTTGTTCAAATTTACACTGAATTTAGCAATTCACTCTTGAGAATATCTAAAACTTTTATGTCCAAGCTAAGAACCAAGAATTCCTTTTATCATATCTGTTGACTTTGTCTTTTCTTCTAACCCAGTTTCTTCCAGTAGATTTTACTCTGCCTTATGCCAGGGGCATTTTTTTAAAGAAATGTTTGCATATGTGACTTTACAAGAGCTACCATTTACTCAAATTACAAATAGAGAAAAGATGAAAAGAGACAAATATATGAAGAGTTGACTCTGCCTTTCATCAAAAGCTAAGTGACTCATACTACTTAACTTTGTGACTTAATAAATAACAAGTGAATGATATATGGATTTTCAATGTGTTCAGGAATATAGAAACTCTAAATAGCAAGTTCATCAATGTCTTGATGGTAGAGTAGTAATACATTTCATTCAATAGACTGTAAGTTATTTGAAGGATTTTTTTTACATTCAAGCTATGTGAATAAAGCATTGACTCTTTCTGGGTCTCAGTTTTTCATCTATATAATAGTTATAATATTTTCTATTTTTATTACTATCCCTGAGAACCTGCCAGTTTTGAACATATAGCTATCAAATGAAAGCTTGATTGCCAGCAAAAACCTACTGAAGTTGTAATGTTACTTATTTATTCATTTGTCAAAAGTGAAATTTATTTAGCCCCTCTTCTTTGTGACTTAATAAATAACAAGTGAATAACAGTTTAAATTCTGGATACAGCTGGTGTTGGAAGAGAATGAAGCAAATTGATCCCCTGGAGACTGAATATTAGCTTCCTTAGTATTAACCTTTAACCTATTCAATAATTACTTAGGTTAGGGTACAACAATCATACACTAAAATTTTTTTAATATTTTATATAAAATTTCTAACTGACCTCACATATTTTAAGTTATATTATTTATAGAATGTCATTCATTAATTTGATGTATATATATCTTAAGAATCCTACATGCTGGATCTTATTCAATGAAACAAATTAGGCATGGTCTAGTGGGAATTAGGCATGGTCTAGTGGGAAAACAGCCACTTAAATCTTTTGTTTTAAAGGCAACATTATTTGTGCTATAGTAAATTTGTGAATCATGTGTTGTGGAAACAAAGGGGAGGGAATTAAATTCTACAAGATGGATAGGAAAGAAGCTGTAGAGAAAGTATACAGTGGAGGGAACATTTAATCCAAAACTTATGAATGAAATTTCTTAATGAAGTTAAAATATAAAGAGGAAAATGAAGTCCAGGTAAAGGGACTGTCATGTTCAACCACACAAAGGCATGAGAAAGCAACACATAGTTGAGGGGAAAAGAAATCAGTGTAAGACCAACCCAGAAACCATCAGAAATAGTAATTCCTCTAGATGTCTAGAAATTTTTAAATATATTTAGGAGAAAAGTTTATGTATGAGTCTCTTAGGCTAACTCCCTTCAATACACTACAGTCTCTAAAGCAGGGATCATTTCTGATTTACCAAGCACAACATCTGGCCATAGTAGCTGTTCAACAGACAGTTGTTAAATTACTGCTAATGGAGCTGGACCTTGGGTTTTTTGAGACAGAAATGGAAAATAAGAAGGTTAAGCTGAACCAATTTGTAACAGGATTTAAACATAAGACAAGTAGTTTAGCCTTTATTCTTTTAGTGGAGATATGCCACCAAGGGTGTTTAATTAAGATAGTGACATGGTTCAAGCTGTGCTATTGATAGTTTCAAAAGGGGAAATCTTCCTTCCCTGCGTTCAAAATGTAATATAGCCCAATTCTGCTTCTTTCGCCAATCACATTCAAGTTTCTAAAAGTCACATGTCAAATTAGAAAGTCCAGAAATAATATAATTTTAAGACTTAAACTTTCATGCAATTCAAAATTTAGGAAAGGCAAAATTTTACCTCTACCTTTTTAGTGATTTTTCCAAAGTGGGTCCAAGAAATAAATCCAAAGTGGGTCCAAGAATTAAATTGACCTAAGGCAGAGCAACAAGAGAAAGGCATCAGATTTATTTAATACAAGCTTTACATGGCACAGGAGGCTTTATAAAGAAATAAAGACTAAGTTGGAGTCAACCACCTATATACTGAATTACACAAAGAGCAATAAATTATAAAAATATGACAAGGCAAAGGGGCTTGGGCTATAGTCATTGCTTGAGTGGAGAGGTGGCTAGAAGGATAAGTGTTTATCTAACAATGGCTGCTTGTACAGATTTCTTTTTGCCTCACCTTCCTGTCTTTGATGACACTTTTATTCTATTATAGGAAGTGCATCATTCACATGTGAGTTTTATCTCCTGCTTTTAGGAAACTGAAGATCAGAGTGATAATCTTGCATCTACTGTTTGCCTGTAACTAAAAATAGTCAATATGCCAGAGTGTTTTGGAGTGGAACAATCTTAACTCCTACAAAAGCTTTTCTCCTCTCCTTGGGACTGGAAACAGCAGAACAACAGCAGTAGACAAGAAGGGATGGGTGTAATATGAATTGTTTGTTTACCATTCCTTCACTTGCTTTTCAACTCTTTCTCTCACAGTCTTTATAACATGTGGGTTCTTCCAGAGTTGGTAGAAGATGAGAGGAGGAGCATAAAGGTATTATAGGACTTGTACTATTGTAATCTGATCTATGAGTGCCCAAATGCCAGCTTTCTTTTTCTTGCGAATTTTTTTAAATTTATTTATTTTACTTTAGGTGCATACTATATCTGGCATTTCTCCCCATGTTATCCCTCCCCTCCCCCCACTGTCTCTCCCCTACACCCCTACTGCCCCCAGTGTGTGATGCTCCTTCCCTTGAGTCCACATGTTCTTGTTGTTCAACACCCACCTATAAGTGAGAACATATGGTGTTTGGCTTTCTGTTCTTGTGTCAGTTTGCTGAGTAAAAATGCTCATCATCACTGGTCATTAGAGAAATGCAAATCAAAACCACACTGAGATATCATCTCACGCCAGTTAGAATGTGGAATATTTCTAGTGTATTCTGGAGGTCCTCTGATCAGAACCTCCATACCTCCTCTGGGGAGCTTGGGGAGTTCCTACACCGCATTCCCTGGGAGGCCACTTACACTTAGAACTTGCAGCTCACACACACCCTTCATTATAGAGGTTTTTTTTGTTTTGTTTTGTTTTGTGTTTACCTTAGCAGGCATTCTTCTTCAGTAAACCCCTTTCAATGTGTCTGGAGTTCATTTATCTTTCTAAGTATCCACTTATCCCCAAGGACAACACACTAATAATATCTGCAGAACATTCTAGAAGGGCAAGCAGCTAGTAGCTACTCTTTAGTTCTCTCTTTGTTTCGTCATAAAGACACCTCCAACAACTCTGTCCCTCCAAACTTTCAAGGAAAAGGTAGACATGGATTTCTATGCTATGGGAACTCCAGGAAACATAGGTCAATTTTCCCTGAGGATACTTTATTCATTTATCACTCTGGTTCTTTGGAAGTCCTAAGAACCTTTCATTGCTGTAGTTCATATGCACATAGGTGAGAATCCCATCCTCCTCCTTGCAGTCATACTCATTCTCTGGAGTAGTTTTCTTGAAGCTACTCTTATCTGGTTTGAGATAGGGGAGAAGCACACTGAGAGAGGTGTATGTATGGCATATATGGCAAGCCAACACTTTTATTCCTTATAGCAGTCCTTATTCTTCCCTATTATCTCCCATATTATCTGATCTGTGAGATGTGCTGAGGGAATCAGCTATGTGCTTTATGTTCTATAAATGTGCCTATCATCTTTCTTTAGAATGTGGGAATAATTTGTACCTTGTATTAGTCTTTTCTGATGCTTTTAGGAAGAAATATCTGAGACTGCATAATTTATAAAAGAAAGAGGTTTAATTGACTTACAGTTCTGCAGGGTTAGAAAGGCCTTATGTAACTTACAGTCATAGCAAAAAAGGAAGCTAACAAGTTCTTCCTCACAAGGTGGCAGGAGAGAAAACTGCCAACCAAAGGGGGAAGCTCCTTAGTAAACAATCATACGTCATGAGAACTCACTCACTATCATGAGAACAGCATGGGAAAAACCACCCCCATGATTCAATTATCTCTACCTTTCTTGCCCTTGACAAGTGGGGATTATTACAATTCAAGGTAAGATTTGAGTGGGGACACAGAGCAGAACCATACTGTTTGCAACTTTGGACATCTTTCTAAACTGGAAAAGCAGGGAAAATTCTCATCTACATCCTTTTAGACACTGTACAGCTTATTTAATACTCACATTGGTCCTAAGAGTTAGGTATCATTATTCTCATTTTACAGATGTGGAAATTGATGCCGAGCATATAATCTACCCTAGTAGCAGAATTCAACTGCAAACCCGAGTATGTCTGATTAAAAAGCCCAACACAATTCTGCTGAGTTCTGAAATGTTTGAACAAGAAGCCTACTGACAAAGTAGATAATAATTTGAGATTAAAAGGTTATTTTCTGAACAATGAATATTTTAATGTATGCTCTACTTTGGCCAGAGCAGTCACTCCATTCTAGCAGTTACCTTATTCCAGAAGGTAGCTCTGAAAACCTGGGGAACATAGGGCCTTCACTATCAAAGTGTTTTAAATATACCTGGTTTTTAAACATAGGACCCAACCATCCTCACAAACAATACATGGTATCATCATATTTCCATGTAAAATGGCAGTTGAATGAAAGCTACTAATCCATGCCCAAGAAGCCAATGTTTACAGCCCAAGCTAAAGCTTAAGTTTCATGAGTGTCATCCAATGGTCTTTTTATACCTGCACATGTTAAAGGAAAATACAAAAGCCTTTTAAGAAAAACTGAGATACCTCTAACATGAAAAGGGTAGAGATAGCAAGAAATATTGGCAGCCAACAACAAGGTATTATTATAGTTTCTCAATTATAATTCAAATTTTATGCTTTAGGTTTTATTGAATATGTCACAGAAGCTTAATCATATGCTATTTCTGATTGCAGTAAAGAAATTATCAAACATGATTTTATTGCAGATTTGGAAATTTGCTTTAATTAGTGATTTGTAACTATTTAAATACAGGTTTATGTGAATGAATTACTTCTTGAATTTCTAAATTGCTAATTTGAGCAGTTAGTTTACATCATTTAAATTTTACATATGTGTGTAGCATCCAGTTGTACTCAAAATTTTACCTTTCCCTGATCTCTTAACATGATTCAACCCATCCATCTTCAAATGCAAATATTATATTATTTGAAGTACTACATGGTTATAATTACTCTTCTAAAAAACTCAGAAATCTGGCCTGTGTTAATAAACTTGATATGTGTTTCTGAGTAAACTCTTATTTTCTTTATCTCTTCATGACTTACATTAAATAGCATTTATATTATTCTGGGATAATGTGAAAAATTACCTTATATTTTAATATAAGCTGATATTGTCAAGGAAAAGACAAGGTGGTGTAGGGAGGACATCAGTATAATTATTACTTCACAAATGAAAATGATTTTAAGGCTCTAGTACAAAGCTAGTTCAGAAACTGCAGAGAAAAATGGGCACAAGGACAAATTAATCTGAGTACTCTCAATCAAAATGGTATAGCTCAAAGTTAGTAAGTTATTTATTCTCATTTAGGGAATATTACCGAAGTTTTGGCATGCATTAAGTGCACAGAAACATTAAGCTGGTCATTGAGCAGATGAATGAACATTTAGCCAAGGAGAATTTTAGCGTGACACTGCAATTTTGCTTCCCTAATTTAAAAACTGTACTGTTTCAGTTAATTAAAGGTAATTTCTAAAATAAAGTCAAGTTAATAGGAAATGTAGTACACAGAGAAATCATCTAGCAGGAATTAAGGGTTTTTAGAAAGTGAAGCTGATTTTACAAGTATAAAGGGCATGTATTACATGACACCATTTATATGAGAGAACTAAAACAGTCAGAGTAGAGTGGTGGTTACCAAGACCTTGGGGCAGTAGGAAATGAGGAGGATTAGTCAAAGGATACAAAGTTTCAGTTGTGCCAGATAAGTCAGTCCTAAAGATCTACTGTATTGCACAGTGTCTCTAGCTAATAATACTATATTGCATACTTAAAAATTCACTAACAGGGTGTCTCTTATGTTGTGTTCTTGTAATAAATGATGTTAATAAATAAAGAAGATAAAAGAAAAAGTAAATAAGTAGAAGTATAAATGGCTTACAAAAAAAGCAGTTTCTTAAATGCATAGTTAATATTCTAGGTGCTTGTGTGTTTGCTTTTTGGAAATCTGAAAACAAAAGCTCAGCTATAACTCTTTTCTGTTCCTATGGAGCACTTGCTTCATTACATGTTAACTTCTTTACCCTTTCAAACAATCTCCACCTTTAATAATGATAATTAATAATAATTACTGATTAAGTACTTATTCAGTACTAGGTACTGTTCTACATGCCTTTATAATTTATTTAATCTTCATAACAATCCAGTGAGAAAGGAAATCCAGTTTAAAAAAGAAACTGAGGCACAGAGATGTTAACAAGATTACACAATTTGTAAATGGTAGAGCAAAGTGGGATTTTTTTAATTGGATAATCCTCTGTGAGAGGGGAGGCCCCCTTGACTCTTTCAATTTCACCTCTTCCCCACCCCCCCTTCCAGATGGGAAGGGAGTGCAGAAGGAAAAATAATAAAATAAAATACCAAAAAGCTGGGAAAATAACTCCCTCTTTAGTTCCCAGGGTCTCTGCTATCTGTTAACCTTGAAAGAGCTGCAAATGAATGTTATCCCTGCCGCCTGAAGCCCAGCACTGGTTCATGCCCCCATGTCTCCATAGGCCAGGCTCCCTCCTGGGGAAAACCTCTGCCAACAAACAGCTTGTTGCTTTTGTTGTCTCTGTAAGCCCCTCTCCCTTGCTGGCCCCCGCTCATGCTGCCTGTGAATCAGCAAATCGATGAAGCCAAAAGACTATAAGGTTGGACGTCCAGCAAATAGACAATGACATAGTTCCACTTGTTTCTGCTTTAGCATTGTAAGCCTATAAAAGGGAAGAGAAGCAGAATCTCGAAGAGCTTAGTGAATGAGGCTATTGCCCACCACAGCTCCTGGCCGAATAAAAAGCCAATTCCTTCCTCAGTTCAGTGTTCGAGAGGTTTGTTCCCCCCACTCCTGCTACAAGAGATGTTAACAAGATCACACAATTTGTAAATGGTAGAGCAAAGTGGGATTTTAAAAAATGGATAATGCTCTTAAGACCTAACTAGATTACAATAAGGTCATAAAATGTAGAACTAGTAAAACTGACCAGAGTACATTTTCTTTTTTAATACATTTTATAATAGGTCATTCTGTGAATGAATGATGCTAAACTGCTTTAAAATGGCATGTAGGATTTAAGACATACTTTCTGTAATATTATTTAACAAGAGAGAAGGATTTATATAATAAATATTGTCTTAGTTATTTAAGACTGCTGGAAGAAAATACCATAAACTCTGTGGCTTATAACAACAGAAATTCTCAGTCATGGTACCAAGAGATTCAGTATCTAGTCAGGGCCCACTTTCTTCATAGATGACTCTTCTTGCTGTGTCCTCACATAATGGAAGAAGTTAGGACACTTCTTTCTTAAATCTCATCGATAAAAGCAATTAGCCTATTTGTGAGGGCTGTGCCACCATGACCTAATCACATGCCAAAGCCCCCATCCTTGATTCTATCACCTTGGGGGTTAGGATTTCAACATAAGAATTGGGGGTGGACACAAACATTCAGACCACAGCAAATACCACACTCTGACATTTTGTTTGTTGAATATTGAGAATGGAGGCTTTCCACAGATAGCCACACTCTGTGGATCATTTAACCTCAGGGAATTGAATGATACATGAAATACTAAAATATATATCAAAACAAAATATGTCCATATATTCTGAAAATATTCTTAGCCCTCATTGACAGAAAAAGAAAAAAAATATCCCAGGGTACTCAAAGTACCTTTTTAATTATGATTTTGATTAACAATTTTTAAAGTTTTGTACTAATATTTGTTGGGTTTTGAACACATAAATATATATTTTAAACTGAAGGCAGATAGTATGTCTTTGTATAGGATCTGGATGAAGCAGCAGCCTTAGTTGGGTAAAGCCATCTTGAGGCATAGTGGCCAGAAAAGAAGGGTACCAATCTGATCTTACTGTTTTTTTTTTTACACTGTATTTCAGTTTTCTGATTCATTAAATTTGATTCATTTTAAAGCAGCTAAAGAACACATGAGACTTTTAAGTTGTACTCTGACCTTTCTC